ATATTTATACAATTGAATACTACTCAGCCATAAAAAAGAATAAAATAATGCCATTTGCAGCAACTTGGATGGACCTGGAGAATGTTATTGTAAGTGAAGTAAGCCAGAAAGAGAAAGAAAAATACCATATGATATTGCTTATCTATGGAATCTAAAAAAAAAAGAAAAAAGAAGACACTAGTGAACTCATCTACAAAACAGAAATAGACTCACAGATATAGTAAACAAACTTATGGTTACTATGGGGAAAGGGGGTGGGAAGGGTAAAATTGGGAGTTTGAGATTTGTAAAGATTAACTACTATATATAAAATAGATAAAAAACAAATTTCTTCTGTATAGCACAGGGAAATATATTCAATATCTTGTAGTCACCTATAATGAAAAAGAGTATGAAAAGGAACATAGGTATGTACATGTATGACTGAAGCACAATGCTGTACACCAGAACTTAACACATTGTAACCGACTGTACTTCAATTTTAAAAAATAGTAACAAATTTAAAAAAACCAGTTTAACCTATTAAGACCTATGATAGAACCCAATAGTTCTATTTCCAGGAATCTGCCCAAGAGAACCGAAAGCCTACGGCTACACAAGGACGTGCACACGAGTGTTCACGGCAGCGTCACTCATGTGACCAGACACTGGAAACAACCTGAATGTCCGCCCATTGATGAGTGAACAGAGAAAAGGCAGTAGGTCCAAACCACAGACTACTGCTCGGCTGGTCCCAGAAAGGACAGAGTACTGGTGTGAGCTACTGTTTGAGTGAACCTTGGAAACATTGTGCCAAGAGAAAGAGGTCGGACACGAAAGGCCACGTCTGATACGATTTCATTCTTGTGGGATGCCCAGAAAAGGCAAATCTGTGGAGACAGAAAGCCGACGGTGTTGTCAGGGGTGGGGGGTGAGAAGAGGGACTGACTGCGTGCGGGCACAAGGGAATCGCAGGGGGCTGAGAGTGTTCTAAAATCGCAACGGGGCGATGGTTGCACAGCTTTATACATTTACTAGCATAATTTAATTGTGTGCGCTAAATGGGTGGGCTTTGTGGTATGAGAATTCTTCCTCAATAAAGCTGGGTTTTTTTCTTTTTTTTTCAAATCACCTCCAAGAACAACATGTATCTTGTTCTGGAATCTGCATCCGATCAGGGCTCCGTGGGCAGGGTCATGTCTGCTCCTGCTCCACAGTGGGAAGGCCAGGCTGGGACCCTCCGAGAACCACTCGCTTAACGTGTCTGCACCAGTGCTGAGTGCTGGCTGCCAGCTGGGACACCTGCCCGTGCCTCTCCTCGTGGCCTGGCTTCCTTACAGCGTGGCGGCTGCTTCAGTGGGAAAAGAGAGAGGACGGCGGAGAGGTGTTTCTCTCCTCCTCTTAGAAGGCCACAGTCCCACCGGATTACAGCCCCACGCTTCTGACCTCATTTAATCTTATTTATCTCCAAACACGGTCCCAGTGGGGGTAGAGCTTTAATCCAGGGAGTTCACAGTTCAGGCCATAACAGAGGGAGAGCGTGCCACGGGGAAGCTGGGAGCCTCCTCTGGCCTGGCCTTGAAAGCGATGCAGGGTCAAGTCTACTGCAGCTCCTCTTCAGCCCAGAGGAGATGAGGGAGGGGGTGGCCGTTGGCAGGAGGAGCCCAGGAGTCTGCAGGAAGGGGTGGGAGCCACCTGCTGATCCAAAGTTAAGAAGACCTGGCATTGGACGCAGTGGCTGGACAGAGGCCAGCGTCATGCAGGCGCAGAGTCAGGGCTGACAGAGCCCCGGGGAGCCTGCCGGGCAACGTGAGCGCCCCGTCCGTCCGGGACGCCCTGTCCGTGTCCTGCACTCCTGGCCAAGGCTACCGTCATCCAATGCCTCCTTCCTGTCAAATGCAGCTGGCACCCACCCCACCTTTCCTGTGAGGTGTCGGGGGCCGGCCGAGGCGTGGAATCCCAGGTCTCTCACCTCTGGTAGGCTCAGGTGCGGTCAGAGCTCCGTGGGGGTCCTGGGGCAGGAGGAAAACGCCATGCCTGCTGCCCGCCTCTCCCTCGTGTTCCAGGAGGTGGGGCGTCGGCACCTGGGCTTAGTTCTTCTAAAAAAAATCCTTTCCTGGCCCTGAAGGGATACGATCAGACAGGACACGCACACAGAAACCCACACAGGCTGCAGGGGAGCTGGCAGTGTGCGAGGAGACCGAGAGCCAGGCCCCTGCGACGTGAGCCCCCGGGGTGCTGTCTCTGAGAAGTCTGGCAATACATAAAGCAATAAATTTAGCCTGGCTTTGCTGGCCGATGTCTGTGCTGTGAGCCCTCCTGTCAGGGCCAGCTCAAACTGCCACCGAAGGCGCAGCTGTAAGAGGTCCCAGTAAACCACGGAGACCCAGATGTAAATCCCTCGGGGCACCAATCACCGCGTCGCATATCAAAATCACGAGGAGGGGTGCTATGTATCTATTACCCGTTCCCCCTTAAAATTTATTGGATTGTAGCTTTATACAATTTAATCTTTAACAGTCACTGTGAAATGGGGACCATACCTTCTGCAGATTTTCCTAAGAGGTTCTTTTTTTCCCTTACTGATTTGCAAGAGCTCTTTATGGATTAAGAAAATTAGCCCTTTGATGTATCTGTTGCCTTTTTTTCCCAGTTTGTTGTCCTCGGACTTTTCTTTAAGAACATAGACAAAGTTATTAGTCTTGCCCCTAAGAGTTCTGTGACTTGCTTGTCAAGGCCTTCCTCATTCCAAGACTATAAACCACTTTTTCCAATTTTTTCTAGAGCTTTGATAGTTTCCTATTCCATGATTAAACTTCCTGCTTCATTTGGAATTTATTTTCATATAAGAAGTAAGATAAAGGGTCAGTTAAACACAAAAGTCAGCCAGTCGCCTCAATACCATTTATTGTGTTTGTTTCTGTTTTTGTTTTATTTGGGGCGCGTATTCAAGTTTATTTATTTAGTTACTTGGTTATTTTAGCAGAGGCGCTGGGGACGGAACCCAGGACCTCATGCGTGCTGAGCAGGCTCTGCCGCTGAGCTGCACCCTCCCCCTCAATACCATGTACTGTGTAACCCGTGTTTTCCCATGGTTGACACACAGCTTTCAGCATACCCCAGCGTCCACATGATCCTGGCCTGTCTCCGGGCTCTCAGCTTGGTTCCGTGGATGCAGACTGGTGACGTCAGTCGCACCGTCCTTGTAACAGGTGTGGTCCCCTCCTCCATCTTTGGCAAAAGCATCCTGGCCATGTGCTCATGTTCCCTTTTTCAGAAACACCTTAGAGTTAATTTGACTATTTCCACATGGGCCTTTTGACAACGATCACAGTTCAGGTGCAGGTTAAAGGAGGGAGCGAAGCTCTTTCATTTCCCTGAGTAGAACTGGAACATTTTCTAGCTTCTAAGTACTTTGCTATTTTATTTTACTATTTATTTTTTTATTTTTAAACCGAGGCACTGGGCATTGAACCAGGACCTCGTGCATGCTAAGCAGGTGCTCTACCACTGAGCTGTTCCCTCCCCCTGCCCCATACACTATTATCTTTGTGTATCAATGTTACACTATCTCTGTGCCCCTTAACCTTGTCACCTTCCCCTGTGGCGAAGGGCATTCAGCCACCACCTCCATCCCATCTCCTAATTTGTCCTTACTGTCCATTTGCCCATCCTGCAGAGACTTCCTCCAACATCCATGCCACCTGTGATCCAGTCCCACCTTGTCTCGTGCCTCCCACTGGTGTCCCGCATCCAATCTGCCCCAGGACCCAGTCTCCCCAGAACAGGCATGTTTCAGAAGCAGGACGCACAGCATCTCTCCCCACCGTGCAGACGCTCCCATGGTTTCTCGCAGCACAGCAAGGATAAGCCTGGAGACCGCCACCCCTACCTGGGGCTGCTGGGCTCCCGGCTGGGCACCTCTCTCCCTCCTCCCACATCCCTCCACCCTCTGCTGGGGGTCAGAGGGACTCCAGTTCTGGCTGTGGGACCCCTATACTTGCTGTTTCCTCTGCTCGCTGGCTCAAGACGCTCAGGCCTGGAGCTGCACGACTCCGAGCGTTCTCGCTGGCGAGGTGGCCTCCACACTGCCTGACTCTGAGCACATGTCCGCCCTCGAACTTCTCAGCCGTCTGCGCCTTCTCAGCCTGTCTCATGGCCTGTCGGCCTGGCTGACTCCAGCACGCCATCTCCAACTGCACCGATTCTGTCTTCAGCTGCACCTAATCTGCTATTACCACCCACCCTCTGAACTTTACAAACGTTTTTTGTAATAGAAATCCTCTGTGGTCTTTGTTTTTATAGTGTGTTCTTCCTCCTCATGTTTATTTTGAACCCACATGTGTTTTGGTCTGTAGGTAATAACTCTACCATCCGAGGTTCTTCAATCTGAAACCCATGGGGGCTTTCCCCTCTGGGGCTGTCACCCCCTGCCTGGGTGCCTTTCTCTGGGGGCACAGCCCTGCACAGTCTGGGCTGAAGGGGGGCCCACCTGGGCGGGCTTGTGCTGCCCCCCCGCTGGCCACCCAGGACCCCCCAACCTGGAACTCCGAGATCACATCTTGGCTTAGGGTCCCAGAGCACATGGGGAGTAGGAATTTTTAGTGCAAACCAGCCTGAGGGCAGACCCGATCCAACTTCTCTGGGAGTACTCCACCCCTCCAGAGCCTGATCCCGGCAGGGGGCTCCCTCCCTGAGCCCTTCAGTCCCCAGCCCCAGCCCGCCCTCCCGCCCACCTGTCCCAGGCACAGCGCCCGCTGTCTGGAAGCACAAGGCTCTGTGTGTTGGCTGACCTATTCGTATTCTCTCTCTGGGAGAATGTGCATGCAAGGGGTGAGAACTGGGCTCCACTTTTTCTTTTCTGTGTTCCTAGGGTTGCAAACTGGCCTGACGATCATTTATTAAATGAACAAATGTTTGAACTCTGTAAGGGTCACCTGGGACGCCTGATGGAGTTTCTAGCTTCCTTAGTGGTCAGGCAACAGGAACGGTCAGGGGAATGCCTGTGCCATGCCAGCCGAATGGAGGGCATCCCAGGGGAGATGCCGGGCACCGTCTCGGTTCATGAAGCTCACGGTCTCGTCTCGCGGGGACAGGTAAACAAGGCAGGCAGGCCTGTCGAAGTGGCCATGAACCTCCAGAACTGTGACGAGCATCAGCGGATGGGGTGTTGGTGGTGCCCTCAAGGTGAGCCCACCCATCCCACGTCGCTCTTGTATCAGGTGCCCCCGGTCCTCTCCCACCTTCACAGAGCATCTCGGACACACCCTGGACGCTGGTACTCTGCAGGCACCTTCCTGCTCCCGACCCCGGCACCCCTGCCCTTCGCCAGGAGGCTCCTGGATTCCTGGTCCCAGCTGTCCTTTCCCTGGAAGACAATTGCCTCCCTGGCCACTCCTTGTGATCTGTTGTGTCCTCTGTGCAAAGAGCCCTGACCCTACCTCAGTGGTGGTGCCTCAGCCCCATGATGTCTTCCACCCACAGGAATGGATGGGACAGAGGCTGCATCCAAGGGGTTTCTGCAGCTCCATCCAAAGCTGTGGGCTGGAGCAGACTGGAGCCATCCAGCTGAACGGTGCCCGGGTCCCACTGGAGGCCCCAGCCCTCATCTGACCCGCTGGAGCCACTCCACAGGCCACAGCGTAGAGGTGCACGCTGGCCTCCCCACATGAGTGCGGCAGGAGGCCGGGCCAGCACACACTATCCCAGCTCTGCGCGCACCAGCCCGAGGTGCTCCAGGTACGGGAAGACAGGCACCATGGTTCCTGACCGACTGAAGCCCCGCAGTGTCTGCGCGTGGAGGGGAGCTCCTGGCCCTGGGGGCCGCCCTGCCTGGGGCCTCATCACATCCCACGCCTCGGGTGATTTGTCTTAACTCAGGCTGGATAGATGAATGCGTTTCCAAAGAGCCAGAGGTCCAGAGCGCTAGAGCCCTGACTTGCAGGTGCAGGGACACCCAGCGATGATGGGTGGGACTGCAGGAAAGGGGCTGCCAGCCTCCATGCATCTCATCATCTGGGTATGGGGGGGGCCTTCCACACAGCGGGAGTCTTACTACACTATTCGAAATCTGAGGCCTTAATTCATTTGAAAAACTTGGCAGGCAGGTGGTGCACTGTCAGATCCTCAGCGAAGGTTTTCAGGGACCCCTCCTGGGACCCCAGGGCTCTGGACAGCCCTCTCTGCTTCCTTCCCAACTACGCAGCCTCCGTTGTCCAGAGAAGTTTCTCTTTAACCAAGTTCCTGTTTTAAAGAAACAGCCGACAGAAAGAGCAGATGTGCTCCAGACATTTGGGGTTTGTGTGTCACTGCACCATTTGGAGTGGCGTCCTTCCAGCTTTCAGGGCACTCATCCTGGGACCCCCAAGTCCACAGGAGAAAGACAAACACAGAGTCACTTTCAAATACAGATGGTGGCAACGTCTGTAACAGGCTCTGGCCAAAATAGGACTCTGATCACCAAAGTGGTACCTGTCCCCTCTGACTCTCCACCACTAACATTTTGGTGTCTATATGGTCCCACATTAAAAAACAAACACATGTAAACAGAGTCACAGGTACAGTGCACACAGGGTATTTCCAGTCCCCGCCCCCCCCTGCCTCACAGAAGGAGTTAAACATTAGCACTGTAGTGGTTATCAGGGCAGCTCCGGGCTGGACTGTGTGGGCCCACACCCTGGCTCCTCTCCTTAGTAGCTGCATAACCTCAGTTTCCCCATCTGTACAATGGGGGTGGGACAGGGCTGTCACGTCATGAAGGGCTCACAGTGGTGCTGGGTACAGAGGAGGGATTCAGCTCTACTGTGGCGGGCAGCTGGTGTCGAGCCCCCTTGCACACAGCTTAGTCACCCCACATTTCCTCACCTGATCCCCCCGGTGTACTCCTCTCCTGGGTGAGGCCGGCGCACAGAGACACAAAGTGTAGGGTGGTCCATTCTTCTGGGCACCGCACCTCTCGCCGTCCGGCACCACAGCACGCCAAGTGCTGAGGTCAGTGGGCGCCTGTCCTCCCAGGGGCTGTCAGCCACTCTCTGAACATCCTCCGCCCCATCTCATAGGTTTGAGACCCACAGGCACTCTGCCTGGCAGGGGCGGCCATGTAAGACAATACCCAGCCAGCTGGCGGAGGACAGACAGCCCCGCGTGGCTTTCAGCTGTACCACCCAAAGGAGCAGGAACATGTGGGGAACACAGATTCTCTTGTTCTCTCCAAAGTGCCACCCTGGCTTTAAGCAGCCACAGCTGTTTGCAGCTCCAGATAGGGAGGCATAGCTGGAGGCCAAGCTCTTACAAAGGAGGGAGCCAGCGTGGGGTCTTGTGCAGGAGAAAGAGCTAACAGGGGTGCTGGGATGGTAAACTCCAAGAGGGGGCAGGGAGAGAAAGTGGGCTTGCCTGGGCTGGGCTTGTTTCAACAGACAAGACCCAGACAGGAACCAGAGAGAAAAGCAACTGCGAATACTGTGGCTACGAAGAAACAGAAGAGATGCCAGAAAAGCTTCTCCTAACCCTCAACAGCAGATCTGGTGACTGCCAGAATCACCGCCTAAAGGATAGGGGGAGGGGACACCTCCTTGGGCCCCAAACCTAGATGTTCTTTCCTAGGGTCTTTTCAGACCCTCCCTGCCCTGTGAGTCCAGCAGGCGGGTAGCTCTGGTCATTGCCTCCTCCTGGCCTGGGTCCTCAAGTTCACTGTGCAGCCCCAAGGCCTGGAACCACCACCGACCCCAGACTTCTTGTTCATTGTCATGTGTACAAACCGCAGAAAGGGCATTGCTGGATAATAAGGAGGCTCAGGCAGAAAAAGGACACTCCAGAGGGGATTTGTGGAGGACCAGCCTCCACAGTGAGCCTGTGGGGCACCCCAGTGGGTCCGCAGGCGGGAACCCCTTGGGGGCAGGGGGCAAGGGGGCTGTGCCGCCCGCGACCCTGGTCCTCCTGCTTCACGCCCAATCCGGCGGTCTGCCAAGGGAATCGGTGCAGGGAAGGGTACAAGGAGACCGTGGTGGGACAAGGAGAGTTCAAGTGGTGGGCGAGGCTCCGGGGGACACGAGAGGAGCAAGGGCCCGTTGGTCTAGGGGTCGGTGCGGGGGACACAGGGGACTGCAGGGGACAGGACGGCGCCTGGGGACACGGGGAGTGCGCGGACGGGAGGAGACCCGGAGGATGCGCAGGATACCGGGAGGCGGTGGACGCGCAGAGTCTCGGCAGACGCAGGGGGACAATAAGCACTCCCTGGGGATCTCGCGGGGTGTCGGGCGGCAGGCGGACCCTAGGGGTCTCTCCCAGTCCCTACCAGCCTC